ATAATATAATATTATATATATATATACACATGATGATATATACGGACATTGTATACATATGTATGTATATATACATATGAATATGTATGTAAATATCTATGTATATGCATATACACACACACACACCAGTTGGTTTTTTAATGTATGGGGGCCCGTCAACAAATGCACGGAAGTTCATTCCTCGAAAGGGCGACTTGCAATCCCGTGGGTTCATGTCTCTGGAGCTTTCAAAGCACTGAACATGTAAGAACCCAAGTGCCATTGCTACCGCAACTCTATTGCTACTGCTGCTGGTGATGCTACTGCGCTGCTGTTACTACTGCTACTGCTAATTATGCCTGCATGGATCCCAACCAGTGAAGAGCTACAGTCGTCCAGAAACCCCGGCTTCCCGGAGCCGAATTGTGAAGTTTTGCCAAGAGGTTAGAGACGTCGAACCAATCGAAGTTGAGAAACGAATAGGGGATTGTGGCAGTCCCACGTGGTGGGCTCTTGTAAGCAAGCTTGTTTATAGGACTGTTATCTTAGGGGCTGAGTGGGTAACCTTTAACCTTTTGGGGCTTATATTATCCTACTATTATTCGAAAGGTTGACCTTTTTTGGGCTAGGGTACTCAGCCCCTAAGGTTATTGTCAGAGGGACGCATTAGAGGAGACATCCAGACGGGAGCCGAAACAGCCCCTCATCGCCCGCCCACACAGGTCTGCCTCCACCCCGGTACAACTGGCGGCGGGGAGATACCAGGTGCCTTGGTCTAGATGCGGGTCTCAAAAGGGTTGAGGGTTGACGGTTGAATTTAGGCTGGTTGTATGCTATAAGTTCTCGAGTGTTCATCTTTTCAGCTTCTGGGTTCTCAGGCGGAAGCAGCTAGGACCGTCAACAGCAGCACCAGCACCAGCACCGGCAAGCAGCACAAGCTCCAGCAAGAAGCAACCAGCAACCGACAAGCAGCAACCGGCAACGAGCAACCAGCAACGAGCAACTAGCAACCAGCGGCAGCAGCAGCAGCAGCAGCGCCGGCAGCAGCAGTAGCAGCACCACCAGCACCAGCACCTGCACCGGCACCTGCACCGGCACCTGCACCGGCACCGTCACCGGCACCTGCACCGGCACCAGCACCAGCACAGCAGCACCGCACCAGCACCAGCACCAGCACAGCAGCACCACCGCCGCCACCACCACCACCACCACCACCACCACCACCACCACCACCACCACCACCGTTATCGACAGCGGCAGTCAGACCCAACACAACGGTGCTGATGATGATGGGATGATGATGATAAGACTTAATGATGATGGTGAAGATGCAATTGATGATGCTGAAAAAGCATTAGGTTGATGATCCTGAAGGAGACATCTACCGCACCACTGCAAAGGCCCCCAAGCCAGAGCACAACATCCAAAAGTGGAGCCTCAAGAGGTGTCCACGTATGATGTGGTGTGAAGCAGTGTGCTTTGCCATCGGTTCAGTTGCTTCGTTAAGTGCCAATCTGTTTTCTATCATCCTTCAATTCAGAGGATCTGGGCAAATCCTGCTCACACAACCCTAAATCGCTTCACTACGTGCGCCGAGAAAAAGCCGGACCTTCCAGCATTCAGCAGCAACGCCCCAAACTGCAACCAGGCCCCAGTGCATGGCTCTGAGCGCCGCGTGGCGAAAGATGGGTCTGCCTACACCTGGCCACGATGCTGCAAACAGGAGGTCCACTCAAGATGTGCTTTTACATGTTTCAATTACGGTTTACTGTGTAGGGTTTAGGGTTTAGGGTTGCAAAAAGTTTTAGACAGTGGTATCAACCCTGCCCGGAGAACGGGAAGTAGACCCTCTACTTTTCATTTCAAGCCCGAAACCTTGCGCGAGATGGTGAAAGAATTCTTGAACCTTCGGCCCTAGGCTTTTGGAGAAACCGTCATAATACTACTATACTACGACGATAGTAATGCTACTATAGTACGACTATCTATAATACTACCACAATACTACCATAATACTGTACTATAATACTGCCATAATATTTCTATAATACTACTATAAAACTATTATAATACTACTGTAATACTGCTATAATACCTTGGTACATACTTCCATCTTACTACGAAGTCAAAGGTCTGACTTCCTGGAGTACTACGGGGACAGCGCGGAGCGCGAGTGGCGCCAAGCAGACAAAGTGGCGCCGAGGGCTTAGACGAAAAATCGTGGTTTAAGTTTTGAGCCTTGGGGTTTCGGGCTTTGTTCTTAGTAGCTAAGTGCATGTATTTAGAAAGGTATATATAGTTTGTGCCTAGATCTATGACTGTGTCTACATCTACCGTACTTGTAACACTGTACCTATATCGAAATAGTTGCAAGAGTTCTGGAACTATTATGTTAATTTGTATATCATGTATACTTTGTCTGTGTTCATGTCATGTATGTCTATTCTATGTTCGTATCTACTCATGTGCAATATGGCTCGGAATAATCGAACAACAAGCCCTGTACAGCCCCCAATTTAATTATCTTGCAGAGTACACCAAAACCCCATTCCAGTTATGCAGATCCCTAAGTCGTAGAACCATGTGGGTAGTTCTCTAAATTCGGGTCCTTTTTTAGGTCCCCAACAAAGTACGGCACCCTTGTAAAAGGGACTTAAAAAGGGACCCTAATTTAGACAACTACCCATGTAGAACCCCCTCAAGTCTTTTCGGATCTTGGTCTCACAGCTTTTTCTGATCACCTTAAGCTCCGTCACCCAGAGACTCCAAAATCCATTTGACCAGGCGGCATGTGCCTTATACTGTCTAAGAATGATTTGAGGAGGATTCCTTGAGTAGAAGGTTTTGGAGTTTCTGATTGAACTTAAGCCCAAGACGCACCCTACCCTGCATACCTTGCACGCCTTGCCAGTCCTGATTTCAATTCCTGAACCCACCAAAATTCTTACGAAGCGCAGTTCCAGTCATGCGGGAAGAAAAGGGGCATTCAAGCAGCAAAAGCACCCCGAAACCTGAAACAGACGGGCCTGAGAAGTCTAGTCCTTGGACTCCTTGGAGTGTATTCTAGTATGATCATAGTAGTATTACTTGTAGTAGCAGTGTAGTAGCCTCGTAGTAGTAGTATTATAGTAGTTTTACAATAGTAGAAGGGTTTATCCAAGTTGTACTGTTAATGTTGACAGTAGCATTATATTAGTGTTCTAGTTGCATCGGGCTGAGGTGAAAGTTCGATTTGTTACATACATACATGCCTGCGCACGTCCATATTGTGTAGCTTCATGCGACATACATACACGCATACATATGCACATACATGGATACATGCGTGCATACATGCATCCATGCACGTTTCATATGTTCGCATTGCATACAGAAGCAACGTAAACTAACAGTTACATGCGTACATACTTACATGCATAGCTACATACCTACCTACCTACCTACCTACCTGCCTGCCTGCCTACCTACCTACCTACCTGCCTGCCTACCTGCCTACCTACCTACTTACCTACCTGCC